TTCCCATCCTTTCCCCTGGGGCTCCTGGCTCCGAGTGTCCCCAGGCCAGCCCTGCCTGGGAGCTTTGTGTACTCCTGTCACCATGGCCACCCCTCCAGAGGGACAAGGGGACAGCTCAGGTGGCCCCAGCCGTGGGAGCTCTGTTGCAGGAGAGGTTTCCATGGGCAAAGCCAACATGGGGAACACACCCAGAGTTTGGAATTTCCACCCAAACAGTCCCAGGGGAGGGTGAGCCCTGGTGGCAGCCCCAGCTGGTGGCCCTGGGGCTCCAGCCTGGTGTAATTCCCACCAGGAATCCCTGAAGAGCTCAGAGGGGTGAGGGTCCTGTGCTGTGCCACCTCCTGCACCTCTCTCTTGGTTTTTGGGGTCTGCCCAGCCATTGGATCTCTTGGATCTGTCCAGCTTTGAAAATCATGGCACACACAGAGGAAGCAAACCCAGAAAATTTAAACACTTATGGCAACAGCTCCTAGACCCCATAAAATAAACCCAGGGAGCTTTGCACTCTTTCCTTTGTTGTTTAATTTTAGGACATCCTGGGTTGACACCACTGGGGTTTTCAGGTTTATTTTATTACTTAAATCACTAAATCTTAAATCAAACTTTAGCAATATGGAGTACTCAAACCCTTTCAATTTTTGTGGTGACGATCAGCATCAGCTTCTGGTTCACTCCAGTCCACAATAATTCTTTTTACAGAGACTGCATGGCTTAAGTACAGGAGTACAAATTTGTAACCTCCAGGTAGGAGGTTTCTTCTGCCTCTGATTTAATCCATGGAATTGGTGCTTCTGGATGTGCCCAGGACAGTGACCAAACAAATGCAAGATTGTCACCAAGGATGCTTTTCTCTATAGAAATCACTCAGCCTTCTTGATTTTTTTATCAATATCTACAAACTGCAGCTGCTTACCTGGAGGATCTGCCTGCCTTCCATCACCCACAAAAACCAAACGCCGTGCAGAGGGGAGATTGCACTTGCCTTCTTTATTCCCATTTTATTCCTTTAAAGCAGGAAAACTGCAAAAAATGTCCTGGAGGGTGGCTCCAGCCGGGGTGTGCTTGGGGGAGCAGTGTTTGCTCAGGGTTTGGGCTGCAGTTACTACAGAAACTGTGCCTGGGTCCGGCCCTGCCCGCCTCAAGCCTGGGCTTGCCTCTGACCCAGGGACAGCTCGTTTAATCTGGCTGAGAATGCTCCTGCCCGGCTGGGGGCCCATTTCAGCCCCACTCAAGCCTTTGGATGCATTTTCCTGCTTCCAGCAGCTCTGGATCCGTCCCATGGATATCCAGGCACTGGTTTTTAGTGGTTTGGCTTTTTCTCCTTGTTCTAATAAGAATTAAACCAGCGTCATGTTCCAAAAGGCACAAACATCTCCTCATTTATCTCCTGCCTCCTCTCAGCCAGAACACTGGGCTGTCCATGCTGGGTTTTGCTAAATCTGCTGGGATGAGAGGAATTCCTGCTTGGATGCAGCTGGGGATGAGAGGGAGCAGAGTGTGTTGGCTGCTCTTCAGTGGCTGTGCCAGCTCTGGTTCAGGAATTCCTGAGGCTGAAATGGGGCAGGGTGAGGAGGGATGAGGAAATTCTGCCCTCCCCACCATGGCTGCTGCTGCTTTAGTGTGGGTAGCTCAAGAATAAAAGGAAATCAAAGGTGAGAGGAAGAGGTCGTGGCTTTTATTAGGTTACAATCTGATATTGAGGAAAAGTGATGTGAAATCAAAGAAATCTGATTTAATGTCCAGACTTTGCCAGAAAGACAAAGTCATCCCTAGAGGAATCCCAATCTGTGAGTCTGGGATTGTCTAGGAAACCCAGAGTGGATTAAATGTACTGAGAAAAAACACAAAAATTAAAATTATGTGCGTCACCCATCATTTTAAAGTGGCAAATCTTGCTCTTTGACATTTCCCTGGACACAATTTTGTCAGCTCAGAGAAGGAGCTGATGCAGGAATGAAGCCAAGGAGATTTGGGAATACCTCTGGAACAGGCTGGGAATTAATCCAGCTCACACCTGCAGCTCCTGCACACCTGAAGGCTCTTACAGCCCTCAGCTCCCCATGATTCCTGCTCCATAAAAACCTGACCCAGCCCTGCCAGGGAAAGAGGGAGGGAAGTTTTGGCTGTTGGGGTTGCTCCTGTGTGGCTGAGCCGGGGCCCTGGGGGCTTTTATCTGGATTTTTTTGGTGCCTCTTTAAGCTGTTTGTGAAGTTTATCTCAAGTTTTTACTGTCTCTGCTGTGAAAAGGTGATATTTTTGGTGTTTTTTTACATAAAAAGCTATTTGTAAGGTCTGCTGCTTTTAATACATGTGACAAATAAGAACTTTTTATATCTTAAATTCTTTTTTCTCTATTCTCTCTTAATTTTCTTAGTGCAGGTGTCTTCTAGTAATGGATTAGAGTGGTTTTAATATCCCAAACTAAATTTAGTCTTCTGTTTGGCAGTCAGGTTTATCCATGCCCTTTCTATCCTGGCTTGTGTGGATTTTGCACCAGTTTTGAACTGATTTTGCATCAGTTTTTCTCTGTGGTGAAAAAGTGATATTTTTGGTCTTTTTTACATTAAAAGCTCTCTTTAGTAAAGTCTACTGCATGTAATATATGTGACGAATAAGAACTATTATCTTTGAAACTCTTTTTTAATATTTTCTCTTCACTTGCTTAGTGCAGCTACCTTCTAGTAATGCATCAGAGCGATTTTAATATCCCAGACTAAATTTAAAATGCTGTTTGGCAGTCAGGCTTTTCTCTCCTGGCTTGTGTGGATTGTGCAGCATCAGTTTTTGGAAGCTGATTGTGCTTTAATGTTATTAAATCTCTGCTGTGCTGTTCCTTCCCTGCTCCAGCTGAAGATGAAAGATGAAATTGCTGCCACGGTTTTCTTCATCACCAAGCTGGTGAAGAGGGAGGACAGGCTGAGCAAGCACAAAATGGAGAAGTTTGCAGCCAAGCTGACCACGCTGCTGTTTGAGAAGTACAAAGATCACTGGTACCTGGACAACCCCTCCCGAGGCCAGGCCTTCAGGTGAGAGGGGCCCAGGTTGGCATCCAAGAGGCCTCAAAGTGAAATAAATAATGCAGAGGGAGCCACCAGGATACCCCTTAAGCTGGAAAGAAAAACTATTAATTGGTGAAAATTACTTTGGTTTTATTTAACCTGTAAATGTGTGATTAGAGGTGGAAAACTGAGATGGAAATTTTTTTTTTTTTTTACCTGTAAACGTGGGATTAGAGAGTTGAGGTGAAATTTCTTTTTACCTGTAAGCATGTGATTAGAAAACTGAGGTGGAAATATTTTTTACCTGTGAATGTGGAATTAGAGGTGGAAAACTGAGGTGGAAATCTTTTTTATTTTTTTACCTGTAAACGTGGGATTAGAGAGTTGAGGTGAAATTTCTTTTTACCTGTAAGCACGTGATTAGAAAACTGAGGTGGAAATATTTTTTAGCTGTCAATGTGGGATTAGAGGTGGAAAACTGAGGTGGAAATCTTTTCTTTTTACCTGTGAATGTGGGATTAGAGAATTGAGGTGGAATATTTTTTTACCTAGGTATGCATAGATATATTTATACATCGATATATACCCAGATATATTTTTTACCTAGCTATACCTACATATATAAATGTAAATGTGTGTTTAGGAAACTGAGGCGGAAATATTTTTTACCTGTGAGTATGTGATTAGAGGCGGAAAAGTGATGTGGAAATATTTGTTTTTAACCTGTAAATGTGGGATTAGAGAACTGGGGTGGAAATGGTTTCTTTTACCTCTAGATGTGGGATTAGAGAGCTGAGACACTTGTGTTAAGATTTCCACCTCAAGCAGCCTCTGACTCCCAGGATGCAGAATTCAGGTGGTCTTACAGAGAATTTTGGGATGGTTTTGTTTTAAACACTCAGAGCAGGGACTTGGCTCATTGATGAGAACTAAAATCAAAGTCGTGTTTGAGCTGATAAATCAACTTGTGAGGCTGAGCTTCTGTTTGGGGCTCTGCGTGAGAGGCTGCATCGACAGGTTAAAAGTGCTGGGACAATTTATGGAGCTTTTGGGCGCGCTCTGCGCGATGGGACCCTGCAGGGCTGCAGTGCCAGTGACACCTGCGCTGTCCCCAGGTGCATCAGGATCAACAGGCAGCGGGCTCGGGAGCCGCTGCTGGAGCAGGCGTGCGCGCAGAGCGACGTGGCCTTCGAGCTGCTGGGGCTGCCCGAGGAGATGACGCTGTGGGTGGATCCCTTCCAGGTGTGCTGCAGGTGAGCGCCGGGGCGTGCAATGCTGCTGGGTTTGTGGGGAATGGTGGGTCTGAGTCAATGTTCTCAGAACATTTGGTATTTTATAATACTGTGTTATACTCTACTATAGTATACTATATTAAATTGATTTATGGTACACTATACTTTACTACATATAGTATACAGTATACTATCTATAGTATACTATAATATAGTGTAGTGCGCAGCATGTAGCATGCCATACTGTAAGTTATCTAGTATACTGCATACTATCTATAGTACACTATAATATAGCGTAGTGCACAGCATGGAGCATGCCATACTGTGATATATCTAGTATACTGCATACTATCTATAGTACACTATAATATAGTGTAGTGCACAGCATGTAGCATGCCATACTGT